GGGGGGGGGCGCCAGCTTCGTCAGGAGGGTGGCAGCAGGGAGAGGAAATCAGTGGGCTTGGGAAATGTCCAGAGGTGTCCAGGGAGGTCTGGTTGATGGGCTGGATGGGAGGAAGTCCAGGGAAGGTGGGAATCACAGCCGGCTCCAGATTTCCAGCCTGAACCACCCGGTGGGTTTACCGGTGGGTTTACCGGAAGCAGGGAGCTGGCCGGGAGGGGCAGGTTGGGCCGTGTGGCAGGACCCAGTCCGAACACTCTGGGACTCCCGGCTCCCGGCCGGCACCTGTTTCCCCCATGGGGGCTGCCAGGAGAGGGCACGGAGAACGTGGGCCACAGGAAGGGAGCAGGGGGCAGAACGGGCTGGAGCACGGGGAGCAAAACGATAGCGATGGCTACACAACGTCAGTGTTGATGACGTGCCGCTAAGTTCTCACGACGTGACCACCTCTTCCGAAGGAGCCGCCTCACGCCTTTCTACCCCATCTCCCGCTGGACGTGTCTACCTCTGTCTGTCTCCCTCCCCCGCAGCGTATCCGCTCCGCGAGGGTGAGGCCTCCGTCTGTCTTGCTCAGCGCTGTATCTCCAGTGCCCAGAACAGTGCCTGACACAGCCAGTGTCTGGTATATATTAGCTGGATTAAAATTAATAATAATTAACTCCTTGGTGGCTCAATCGTTTAGGCGTCTGACTCTTGATTTCAGCTCAGGTCACGATCTCACGGTCGTGGGTTCGAGCCCCGCGTCGGGTTCTGTGCTGACAGTGCGGAGCCTGCTTGGGATTCTCTCCTTCTCTCCCTCTCTCTCTGTCCCTCCCTCATGCTCTCTCTCTCAAAAATAAGTATATCAACTTAAAAAGAAAGAAAGAAAACCTCCTTATTAGGTACATATTATTATTATTTTTCCCCTTCAGAGCGAGGCCAGCTGGAGTCAAATGTCGGTTTCCTTGGCCTGTTCCTTGAACCGTGTCTCCCAGGGACTCAGGAGGGCAGGTGGGCACGAGGCCAGTTTTTTAAGCAGCTGGAGGGGGCTCAGGACAACCTGAGGAGCTGGTCTGACCAGCCTCAGCCACCTGGGTTTTCACCTTGAGTCGGGAACAGACTGGTCTCCCCTGTGCTGGATGCCCCGCCAGAAAAGGGCAGAGTGGAAGCCCCAGGTGACACCTGAGGAGGCGGGGCTGGGCGCCGAGCCCCAGCGGGCAGGGAAGAAACATCTGGGCCCCGTGTCCAAGTCTAGACCGGAGCGGCTCCCAGCAGTCGGCCTGCAGCGCCACCTCGTGGTCAAGGTTCAAAGACGCGTCTCCTCCACCTGCGTGCCCCACTCAAGACCCAGGCAAGCTGGCCACCTGCCCAACCAGCAGGCCTCCCTGGGCACCTCCGGCACCAACCTCCGGGCATCCCTCCAGTCCTCTCCCTTCAGATTAACCTCCCTCATCCCTCTGGGACTCTGGATCCTGTTCATCCAGGAAGCCTCTCCAAACTTCTCCAGCTTCAGTGATCACTCCCTGCTCAGTCTCCAGACACTCACTGGGTGTCACTATCTTAGCCCTGGGGTCCTAAGCTCTGGGGTCAGATAGACCCCTCTGAACACCGGAGGGTCCACTTACCAGCTGTGTGACCTGAGCAAATTATTTGACCTCTCTGAGCCTTAGGTCCTAATGTTAGGCAGAGGTGTGTTTCCAGCCTCACAGAGCCGTGAAGAGGGTTGAACGAGATCAAGTCTGCAAAGGCCAAGAAGAGGGCCCAGCAGTAAACAGGCAGTCAGCAAAGGGCAAGTCCATTCCCACCCCTCTCTCTGACTTCCTCTTCCCTTTCCTAAAAAAGAGAGCATGACAGGACAGAAGGCACAAGACAGTCATAGGACCTGGGTTCTCCTTCTCTGTAAAATGAGGCCATCGGATAATTGATGAATCTATTCGAATACTGATTGATTGATTGATTGATTGATTCATTCATTCATTCATTCCACTTCCATTCCACCTGTGACATTCTACAGGATGAGTATGCCTTTTATGTCCATTCATTCATCCGTGCCAAGCTGTGTCTAATGCTCCAGTGTCCCCTGTTAGTATCTAGCACAGTTCCCGGCATGGAGAGGGCACTGGAAAAGTCCTTCCTCGATAACCTACCAAGGGCATGCTTGCTGTCGCCCCCCCCCCCCCCCCCCCC